AAAAAAATTATCAGTTAACTGGTTATACAAATTACATGAAACTTAAAATGAATTAAAAATATTAATATTTCATCTATATTTAATATCATGAAAACAAGATTGGCTTCTATACAGCATTACTATCTGACAAGAATTAGTATATTAGTGGTATTATTCATCACAGAACAAACTCTTCAATGTCAAGATGTGCAGCAAATTTTACATAAAAATGTTATTATGAAATGGACAAAATGTACATGCTGTATAGCAAACCAGAAAATGATTTCATAGTGTACATGTAACTCCATCTTGTTTTACCAGATAATTTTTACCATAATAATATTGATAAGTACAAAGTACTTAGACTTAGACTGCAAAATTTTACAATTGTGTCTCATGTATTTCTTGATTTTCTTTGCTGGGGTTCTGTCGCTCACCTTTTATTTCTTCTTCATCTACCTCCATAGCTGATTCTGATTCAGTTACTGCGCCCTTATCAAATGATTGACTCTCACTATCTTTTTCCAGTACACTTGTGTCACTTGGAGATGTGGATTCTTCATCTTTTTTCAAGTCACCAGGCTTTTCTGGATCTTCAGAAGTTACTTCTTGTTGTTTCAATTCATCAGCCATATTCTTTGTTAGGTCTGAAACTTGTTCGGTTTGTGAAGGAGTTGTTTCTTGTTGTTTCAATTCATCAGTCATCTCCTTTGTTTGGTCTGAAACTTGTTCGGTTTGTGAAGGAGTTGTTTCTTGTTGTTTCAATTCATCAGTCATCTCTTTTGTTTGGTCTGAAACTTGTTTGGTTTGTTGAGGAGTTGTTTCTTGTTTTTTCGAATCATCAGGCTTATTTTTCACATCTGGAACTGGAGCAGTTGTTTCTGTCATTTGTTTGACAAGTGATCCCATCTTAATCTCAAAAAACCTGTAACATATACCAACAAATTATTATTTAATATAACTGCATTTGACCGATTACAAACTTATCACAAGAATACTGCAACAATGTGATCCAGTGTTGCCTGAGTGCATACTTTTCCATAATATTATTATACATCTTAATTTCTTACTTGTAGTCATAATTTGATGAAAGATAGTGGTCTGAAATGCCAGCAAAAAACATTTCTATTTCATGTGATACAATTATATTTCTGTCACACACTACACTACACATTTGGCAAAATAGAAAGAGGTTCGTAATACTTTCAAACAGGTTGGTACAGTGTTTTGATGACAGCTAAATTCAAATTGTTTTTGCTGTGTGATGTACAATATAAAAATACTAATTACACATTTAGGTCTAATTTTTATAGCAATATTAAAACAATTGACCTTTGTGTACATACTGTTTTATCTTTGCTTCTAGCCAATCCTTGTGTAGTAGACCATCTTTCCATGATTTG